CCCAATATAAACTCTCTCTAGAGCTCTGAGAATGAGATATTTAAGAGTAAGCATTTTAAAGAAATGACAAGCTATGATGAATGACATTCCCCTGAAGAAATATAGTTTTCTAACATCAGATTTAGAAGGTTTAGCTGTAAAGAGTAGTTCTCATTAAACTTATTAAGGCTGTTCTTACCTCTGTCTGTACTCGGAGTTGGTTTGAAAGACCTTCTTTGTCCTGTAGCAACTTTCTTTCAGAGTTCTTGAGCTTTTCCAACATATTCTTTACCTCTGAGAGTTCTTTAGTAGGTTCTGTAATTCCCTCTGACTGACCATGAAATTCTCCTTTATGATGTCCCAGAGACTTAACCTTTGCATTTTTCTTGGGGATATCATGAGTTATAGCAGCTTTGGGAACTAATATTCTTACAGCTTCGACTTCCACTGCCTTTTCAGTGAGAATTTCCCCTAACTGAAGAACTCCTGGGCTCTCTGATGGAACAGCTTTCTTCCATGGACTCTGAGGGATATGATGTTTTCTGGACTGGACTCTAGAGAAGACTTCAACAGATTTAGATGGTTCCTCAGTTTCCATTCCATCTCCTGCTCCTCGGATTGGGGTTGAAGTAAGGGTCACTAACAAAGGGAAAACAAAACATAAACTATTTACCAAAAAGAAATGCCAAGAACATGTCAAGACATGTTATACCCTACATTTAGAATTACTGGCACTAAAAAAAATTAAAAAGAGGAAAAAATTCAGAGTAAAAACTGATTTTTAAAACAATCATGTCTACAAAAGATGGACAGTTTTACATGTTCAAACTTTCTTCAAGTAAATGGCTTCTCTCTTGGTGGACTATGCAAAAGATTTGGATTCAGAGTATTTGGTTCTGACTTCTACTTCCTAGTATAACCCTGGATAAATACATTTAATCCTTTATGAATCTCTATTTCCTAATATGTCAAACAGAGATGGTTAACAACTATGCTACAGAGATATAGTAAGAAAGAATGTAATATGATCAGGTGCCTGGTATGCTATAGACACTCAATAATGTTAGTTAAATATAAAATTAAATATCGGCTATATCTGTGCATATTTAAAACCATCTACCACAAAATAGATTCATCTCTTTTTGTGAACTCTTGGTAAAGAATGCTTTGCACAGGGGTAAGAGAAAGCATCATACATGTTGCACTGGAGAATTGATTAGGAAAAGATTCAATCCTATTCTTAGGCTTAAGTGTTTAAGTCCTGCTTGTACAAGTCAAACTACACTGGGTTAGATTAAACTTCCTTAGACATCACTTTCACCATATCATACTCAAGGTATTTTATTGATGTCTTATTCCCTCTAGTGGCTTTCAACTTATTTTAGGTATACTACATTCCCAATAAAGTGCCTTATTTGCAGTACTCAATATATATCTGATTAATAAAAAATAAATAACAACAACGGAAGGGATAATAAAGGATGGGCATACAGGTCAGTAACAATGGTTATAACAATGAACTTTGAACAGTCACAGGCAACAGACATGAATGCCTAATGTAAGCCAGGCATTCTG